GATTAGAAGTGACCTGCCTCTTGCTGCTCGATGAAACAGCTCCGTGTAACGGGCAATCAAAAATCCTAGCTGGTAATTTTCCAGTTGGGATGGGTCACCACTACAGCCATCTCCATCGGCTCTTCTCATTTCCGCCACGGTTTTGTGTGTGTTTCATTTGACCTGGGTATAACGAGCAAAGAAGAATAAAGTAGCTGCAGACACACAATCAACGATCATCCGCTGAAGCTGATGAATATGCCGAGACTGCTAAGTGGGTCTTCATTAGCTATTCACATGCTAAGAGCAGTCCTTATTTATTCTTCTTTCCTAGGTGAATCTATTTTTGAATATCTTTTATGCTGATCTTGTCTGGGGGGTGGGAGGTTGGATGGAGGGTACCACCACTGCCAGGTAACCAGAGTATTTTCATGAAGAAAATAGACCATGACACCAAGTTGGCAGCAAGCTGAAAAGAAGAAACAATGTGATGCCATTTAGAGCAGGAAGGAATAATTTTCCCTGGTGACACCTCTAGTGGGAGGCAGAACTTTATCTTCTCTTTGCAGCTCAAATGAAGCATCACAGCAGTAGCATTAACCGTGCTTCCACGTTTCCAGCATGTCTTTTCATTAACCTTTTTTTTTAACGCTGTAGCAGGGAATGCATTTTCCAGGGAGGGTTTGCAGGGCCATAGCTGGAGATGCAAGCCCGGGATGTCCCACCCAGGTCCCCAGGCCGTGGCACATGCCGTGCTATTGCAGCCAAAGGGATGAGCCCGGTAGGCTGAGCTGCAGATGAGCTGTGCTGCAGATGAGCTGCGGTGAAGAAGGAAAACCTGATATATATCTACAAGTCTGCTGGAGAGGGGTTTTGGAGCAGCAGGTTCTGGCCAGCCTTGCTCCGGGGGCCCATCACATCTGGGGACATCCCCGACGGTGCAGATGGGACAGCGCTTAACCCCTGGCAGCGACGGTGTCTTCATGACCGAAAGGTGCCTTTTGCATCTGCACAACCCCCTTTTCCACACTGGGCATCACTTAAACTTTCTCATTTAAGCTTTTCTTAAAAGCCACAGCTCCCGCTGTGCTGGGCCGGGTGGTTGCGGATGCCTCTCGCCCTCCATCGCCGCATCCATCAGCGGTGCAGGCTGCCCTCTCCCGACACACCGAGTGTCTCAGGGAGGCAGTGGCTGAGACCCAGCACCCTCAGCCAGCACCCACCCCGCTCCCAGCTGCTCTCTGTACACCCCAGCACTGTCCCGTCCCAGTAAGCACAGACCAACACAGCCTCACACATCCCCTGAGACGACCTGGCCCCATCACCAGCTCCCGCCAGAGCTGGGTCCAACCCGCATCCCCCCTCCAGCAGTGCGTGAGAAACCACCCAGAGCACTGCATTCCTTCAGCCAGAAGATTTCCATCTCACCTGACCAATTCCTGCCCTCCCAAACCTGCCCAGCACCTTTTTTTTTTTTCTTTCTTTTTTTTTTTCCCCCTTTAATGATCTGCCAGTGTGAGCGCTGTGCTCAGATGAGTTAGCTGTTCGCAGCTGAGGCTATTCACGCTGCAGACTATGTGGGTGACACCCTGGGAAAGCCGTGTTTAGCAGCGTGCAGCTCCACGAAAGCCTTTTTCTATGGGCGGCAACGTGAGCCGAGCTCTTGCACCTCTGGGGTTTGTAACAGCTGATCTAACAGAGATTATTTTTAATTTTTTTTTTTCTCCTTGCACTTTTGACCTTATTTGCTGAAAATGAAACATCATCTAACCCTCCAGGAAATGCCACAATTCTTCGATCTGACATGAGAACATAAATCTTCTGTACCCGTTCTGCATCTCAGGTCTCTGGAACTGAGTTCGGGACACCGGAGCGGGAATCGCAGCATCCCGAATCCAGGACAGCAGGACCTGAGCCCTGCATCTCTCCAGCCCGGAGAGCGACAGCCCCACGGGGTTCATCCCTGGCTGAGCTGCTTTTATATCAATACCCAATGGAAAAATTGGGATTTCTTGGGCCTGAATCACCTTGAGCATCTTAAAGTTTTGTGGGAGGGGTGAAACCCTTCCCATCCAGCTCTGCGGGTCTGGCGGAGATAAAACACAGCTTTACAGCTCGAAGTAACCCACCTTGCCCTGCGTCCGCCTCCCTTAGTCACCTCCTAGAGGGGGTCTTAAAGGCTGTTGCACTGCTGAAATTTCGGGCTCTGCATGCCATGCTCGGCGAGTGCCGCTCATGTTTCCCACCGCGTGTTTCCTGAGCGCGACGCCTGTGGGTCCCCGGTCACAGCCGGACCGTCAGCCGCAGCGGGTTGCGTCCACCCCCGGCTATTTCGGAGGACCGCAGAGGCCTTTCCGGGAAGGGAGTGGGGTGGCTGTGGGGCTGGGGGGAAGCATCAAAGCCGTGTCCGCATCGGGGCCGGAGCAGCAGCGAGGGCTATTTGAAAGTAAGAGGTTATCTGTGGGAAGACGCTGCTCTACCCGCGGCTCTACAGCTTCCTGTCTCCCACCGGTCACAAGCCGAGTAGAAGACATCCTGCTCAAGAAAGGCACGTTTTTAGGTCCAGGCTTTTAGTGTTTTACCTGGGGTCTGTTCACCCATGTGCAGATCTCTCTCCTTTGTGGCTTATTCCCGGAGCAGGGACCCCCCAAACCCCGCTGAACCCCGGGAACCACCCGGAGCCGCCTTTGCCTTTTGTGGTGTTCCCCTCTGGATGAGGTCGGTGAAGTTCCCAACCCCCAACCTGCTGGGGAAGATGGATTTAACGGAACCCACAATGATACCCCTTCTGAAAGCCCCAGAAAGCTGAAATTTCTTTCTTTCTTTCTACCAGGACCACCTTTCCTCGTTCTGCCACTAGATGGGAGAGCGAGACTGGGCTACCTCCGCATCCATCCATCCCGCCAGGAATTCCCAGGGCAGAGGAGCACGGAGGAGTGTCCGCAGCTCATCCTGCAAATCCTCCCACCTCGGGAAGGCCCTGGGTAACCCCAAAACACACAGCTATTGCCTCACCCCAAAAGCGCAGGGTTAGGGGCACTGATTCCTGCCTGGTGCTTTCCCCCAATCCCGGTCTCCCGGCGGTAGCCCCTCTGCCCTCGTGCGAGGGGGATTCACTTACACAAGGACCAGATATATTCTTGGGGGTGAAATACTTGATTTTTTAATTTTTTTTCATGTCCACTTGTCCTAGAGCAGAGGGAAGTGGGGTAAGCGCTTGCAATTCACTCCTCCAAACCACCCACACCCCGAATCCCACTTCCCACAAAGCCGGGTGACCCCAAAAACTGCTTTGGGAGGGACAGAATAAAGCAGCATTTTCTCCTCCTTTCCTTCCACACTTTTCTCTTACAGGATTCTTGTGTAACGATACCCCCAGCGATACCATTTTCCTGCAAAGATTAAAAATGGGCCGGCGCAATGCCTGCACGTGCCAGAGGAGCGTTCGTGCCCCCGTCTGACACTGCGCCCCCCGGGAGCTGCCGTGGGCCAGGGAGGGGAGGGCGCTCCCAGTTCATTAACCTCTTATTAAATTTACTTTCACTGCAGCCCTTCCCATCTCCTGAGATGCTCCCCAAGGTTTTGCTGGGACTGGGTATGTTTGGGAATCGTATAGCTGCAGAAGCACTTTCTCAACCAAATCAAAGAGTGCCCAGTTTGACTTTTGATTATCATAAGGTTTGGGGTTTTTAAAAATGAGCCCCTCTTCTTCCTTCCTGAGATTTCAGAGGTTCTGGAAGAAATCTCATGGTAGCCAAATTCTCCAAGTGACTATGGCAGAATATGTAATCCTGTAAACTGGAAATTATCCTTTGGGGAGGTTTTGCTGTTCGCCTAACCTTCCTAATCTGCAAGCTTTTTAGTGAACTGACTCAACTGTTTTGTTTAATGCCTGGCACAGTTGGGCAATGAAATGAAATAATCCCAATAACTTCCCTAATTGCAGTGATCTCGTCACCTCTGTTGGGGTCTTCTGGCTTTGCCTCCACAGAAGGCATCTGCCATTATCCTGTTAAAGAGAAGTAACAGTTTCTTTGGAAGAGGAAGTCTGGTCTTTTTACTGGATGCAACCACTCCTATTTTCCATAAGCAGCAGCCACCCCACCCTGTGTGTGCAACGAGGCCACTGAGTCACCAGCACGAAGGACCGACCGGCACGTTGCACCTCCCTGGGGAGGACCCAAAATCCCCTCCGAAGAAGAGAAGAGACGTCTTTCTTCAGTTGATAATTATACATGAAAAAAAAATGTTGCCTGGAAGCAATAAAAAAAGAAAAGAGAAATTCCAGATGTGGCCGGTCCAGGGCACGTTTTCCTGTGCCAATGCAGCTTCAGCTGCTGGGGAGAGCCCGGGGTGACAGCAGCAATGGGGACAGGCGGGGTGGGAGCATCCCCTGCCGCAGCGGGGGCCGGGGCTGGGCTTCACCCCACTCTCTGCCCGTGGGATGAAGGTCAGAGCAGCCACAGAGCGCCTCTGATAGATGGTTATTCATATGTCTGCTTCTGGCCATGGACACTCGTGGGAGAAGTTACTGCCCTTGGCCAGATGCCTGCTGCTCCCCGACATCCTCAGGTGCCAAATGTCGGGTAAGCAAGTCGGGGGGTGGGATCTCACATACACAGGACCACTGCAGGAACTCCGACCTGTTTTGCTATACCCCCGGTCTTTATATCCCTTTCCTCTCTCATCTCCCTCTCACCACCCTAGAAGACAGTCAAAAACCAGAAAAAGCACTAACTAGGGAGAGGACACCTGGTGCACCCTTGCGACGACATGGGACCAGAGGGATGAGGACACCAGAGACTGACTTTTGGCCGCTGCCGACTGCGGGAGATGCTGTGGCTTGTCGCTGCCCAATGGCTTTCCGCATGCCAGATGCAAAGTCAGGCCTCCTCCGGCAAGGAGAAGTGGAGCAGATTAAGTTTCTCAAGAAAAATGGCACGTGCAAGTGCCATTGCCTCAGACAACAAACCCACAGCAGCCACCACGGCAAAGCTGTACCCTGTGAACCTTTCCCGTACGTGAGGCTGAGCCTCGAACTGCCGCTGCTGCAGCACCAGGGGGAGGAGAGGAGGGAGGATTTGAGCACGGTCCAAGCCGTGGTCCATGGGACTTGTTTCAGGAGAGCTCAGCTGCCCATGAAAGGTGAGTCCTGCCGGGCTGGGGCAGAATCCGGCACAACGCGGATGCACACACGGCACTCGCCGCACCGGTACGCAGCTCCAGCAGCGACACAAAGAGTGCAAAGTCGAAACTTATAAAGCATCGCCGCAGAGAGCAGGACGGAGCAGCAGGCTAGCAAGACGGAGGCTTGCTCGGAAATGTTGCGTCAGCGTAGGTTGGAGGCAGAGCCCGAGGGCAGCCGGCTCAAGGTAATCACAGCATCCTCGTGGACCCTCGTGACGGTGCTTAAGAGCAGCTCGATGAATTTGGGAAGCAGGCAGAGGAGTCTGCCTCCTCCTGAGGACTATTTTGAGCTCCCAGCCCAGCGCAGAGGGGTGCGTGTGCTGGTGCCGCGCGTGGGATGTGCTCCACGGGGCTGTGACCAGTTTGGAGGGGGGAGAGGCAGTTGTGTGGCGGTAGGCACAGAGCACAAATGAAGTGAAAACTCACAGGTGGGTGAACATCGGCCACAACACACCGGGGCGTCCCCGGACGAGGGGTCTGCACCGCGGGGGATGGCTGATGCTGGCTCCGACCCTGACCCACGCCGGAGCTCCCGGCTGGGACACGATCCGGCGTCACAGATGCAGAGTCCAACCTCTCCTGTAGACCTTGATCCTGCAGGAGGAACTACAGGGATGGATTGTCAAAATCAGCTGGAACGAGTGCGATCCAGGCCTTATCTGAGATAGCGAGAGAATTACCCACGTGATTTCTTCTCCGTGTTTACAGGGGCAATATTTTTCCAAAGTTCAAAGTCTTTCTCTGCAGAAAGCATGTGATGTGCTTCGCAGTCACGATGAAGTTTTGGTGCTATGAACAATTAAAAAAATCAATTTCTGGAGCAATATTTTCTATGTTTGTAATCTCTGAACTAATTACAGGACTGGAAAATCAATAGCTCTCTGGAAATCTTTCCAATACGGCTCACTAAGCATGCTACGTAACATGCTGGAATATATTCTTCACATACACGTGGTGCTCATGACCATCTCCAGATCATATGGGCAGCTGATACCACTGTCAGTAAGTGTGTGTACTTCATTACACCGCGATGGTAACATTAACCAAAAGCTGCAGGGGGGACCGGGCAGAGCGAATAGCGCAGCGTGTGAGATCGGGAGCTCTGTTCGGTGCCAGCATTTTAAGCCAACAACAAAAAGAGTTGAAAGACTCGGTTAGTTCAACAATAATCTTCAAAAAAGATTATGAAATAAACTCATTAAAAGTTCATGCCTCAGCTATAATGTTGTTTTTTCATCAGGCTTTATTAAAAAAAATCAGTAAAACCTTGGGTGACTGAAAATAACCTCTTTCTCTCGTCTCCTGGCAAGAGAGCGGGGGCGTTATTGGGTACTTAAATGGCTATTGCACTTCAAAAACATGCGTAAAGCGGAAGGGTGTTGCTCTGATGAATACGATCTCCTCTTGCTGTACAAACACACCCGTGTTGACCGTGGCAACTCGGCTGGAGCCAAAGCCCAAACCTTTGTGCCCACGCTCCGCACCACTTCCCACGCAGGGCGGGCGTTGCTGGGATCTCACTGGAGCCGCTGCCGCCTCCCCCGTGCCCCGCGAGAGCTCGCTGGGCTCTTCCTCGGCACGGCACAGTTTGAGCTGCTGCTAAATGAGCAAATATTCCCATCGGACACGGTGCCAAAAGCACAGCAAGCGGGTAAGAAGCAAAGACCACAGCGCAGGTAATTATCCCCACGCTCCCGTTTGCATCGCTGCTCGGCCCAACGGGGCGAGGGATTCTCAGCCGTCACGAGACCACAAAAGATTTGCTCTTGTCTCAAGATGCTTTCCTCTGATTATTCTTCACAGCTTTTTTCCCTCCCAGTGAGTCGAGCAGAGGAAAAGTGGGACTGGGGTACATCTCTGCCCTCGGTCCCTCCCCAAACTGGGGGATTCCCGCAGCTGCACCCACACCCACACATCTCCGAGGCGGTGACCCTCCTCCCGGAGCAGAGTGTCCCTCGGTCCAGCCCTCATCTCAGGAGACAGCCCGTGATTTATAGTCCTTCCCAAGTAAGAACTTGGCAGGTTAATTATGCTCAAAGAATTTAAATTTTGGAGCTGGGCATGACCCATGTGATGATCTGGATTGTAATTATTGTTATCGTTACACACCGTTCGCATTTGTGTAGGACTCCCACGTCCAGCTCGGGAGCTCCTGTGCGCGGTGCGGCACATCGGCACAGAGAAAGGAGCCCCTCGAGGTGCCGCCAGCCTGCCCGGAGCCCTCGCCCGCACACAGAACGTACGCTCCCATGGTGTGGCTTTGCCAAGCTGGGCTCCTAGCAGCCAAAAAGCGACAGTCACAAAAATTTTGTGCTCATCATCATCCCAGTTAAAGTCTCCCTTTTAACTCCCAAGCCTGAAATGACCTTGATGCTAACTCGGAGCTGCCGGGTGGCACGTATTGTTCAGACTCTATGGGAACAATATACCTCTATACCTACAGCTGCTGCACTGAGCTCCAAGGTGTTTTCTCTTTGGATGATGCCGTCTTTGGACTTTTCCATCATTCCTCCCAGTGTAATGTCACATTTCATTCAAATAAAACTTGATTGGAGTGCAGGAAATCGCTTCTATTTCTTGTCTTAGGAAAGAAAGGCTGCGGTGTCTGCACATCACCTCAGGGGAAAGACCTGAGAAAAAAGAGCTCAGACCCTTCAGAAATCTTTCAAAGAGGAGTTACAGCTCTCCCTTCCCTCTTTATAAACTAACACACCACACTGTGCACGCTCAGCAGCAGAGTTCCTAACGGCGTTTCCCCGTAGCCCAGAGGAAGAGCTGCCGCCGGTGGGTTTATAAGGCGGGCGAGAGCAGGACCGGCAGCGAGGGATGGCTGCATCCTGCCACGCTCCCCTGGCCGCCGGCCACCAGCACCTCGGGGACAGCCCGCACGGGAGGTTTGCACGGAGATTATTGGCTTTAGCAGCCACCAGAGCATGTGTCACCCATGAATTTGTCTAATCCTTCCTCCACCGCAGTTACATCGCGGCTCTGCGATGCCCTCCGGCACCGGTTGCCGCTGTTTAATCAGGAGCTGCCCAAGAGGTTGCGTTAAACCCTTCCGTTTACAGGAGCCCGTGCTCTCGTCATGAGCAGTGTAGCTCGCGGGGCTGAGCAGGATGGATTCCGACGCTCCAGTTTGCGAAACCAACAGGGTCTTACAGAGGCAGGAGATCACAACGACTGCTAAGAACCCCAGGGGGGGATTCGCAGAAGTGCATTTCCCGCTGCAAGCCAGCACGAGCCACCGCCCTTGAAAAATCCCAACTTTACTTGGTTTTTTTATTATATGTTTCCTGTGAATGAATTTCTGGCTCAAATTAGAGTTATAATAAACCGCAGAAAAAAACAAAACAAAACAAAACAAAACCTTCTTTTAGAAAATAATGCAGTTCTGTACTTCCTTCCCAGAGATTTGTTGCTTGTTCTGCAACAGGAGATGTGAATCATGGAAGTATTTATAACGGCGATATTAGGAAATGATCATTCAGGCACCAGAAATCTGTGTTAGACATTATGTCTTTAAAGAAATTGTTTATTACTGTGTTAACCTAATCTTCTGAATACATGCGCACTTAACTATATTAAAAATGTAAATGTTCCCAGAACCAGACTTTACATGATGAATATACATCAGCTCCCCGTCTTTCCTAGTCAGCCCTGTGGATCTTTGAAAAACGAGGATAGTTTCATTTGATGGGCGCTAATAAGGTTTATGTCTGCACAGATTTAGGCCGAAGATTGTCATGATCATCTCAGGTCCCACGTGGCTTACAGGACTGAACTTGAAGAAACATCTTTCAACAGCCGCTGGTGACGGAGCGATTCCAGCTCTGGGAGCGCCTCCAGCCAACTGACTTCCCTTCTGTGGCACTAAATTTGCATTCATTAAACCCAGAGTTTTAATGATTTATGGAGATTTATAAAAAACGGCAGCCCAGAGCTCCTGACACTCCCAGAGCTTCTGACAGAGGTACAACACATCATAAATCCATCCCGGTGTGAAATATCGAATGAAAATCATTGCAGGTATATCCGCAAGTGTTAACATGACCCACACAATCAGGGTTTCAGTCAAGCTAAAATGCTCAGAGCCTCCCGAACCCGAGGAGATAGTAACCCATATAATGACAATAATATAAGGATTATAACGTTAGTAATAACACTACTAATACGATTACCAGTCTCCTTGTCATTGTTTATTACCATCACTGCCCTGATAATTCTCAGCTCTAATAACGGATGGGGCAGAGACGGCCCAGGGCAGAGATGGTCCCATCCTTTCAGAAACCCTTTGTGCCCACCACCAAGCCCCAGCCCAGCAAAAACCTGCAGTTTTCAAAGGAAAGGCACCGGCAGCGTCAGCCGCTAGCAGAGCTCCGTCCCCAGTCTGGCTGAGCCTGGCAGGCAAGGGAGCGAAAGGCGATGGTCCTGAGACGAGAGACTAGCAGAGGTGGGGAAGATTCAGGGCAGACGCTGTCAAGGAGAGGTGACGCGCATCCCCAGCATTGGGGGGGGACAGGGCTGCGCCTCCCCATCGCCCTCCACCCCCTCCCCTTGGCGGCGGTGGCTGTGGCGCGCAGCGGAACAAGGACTACGCTCTAGCGACTACTTCTGCGATCCATCCTTACCTTCGCTGCCGTTGCATCCTTCCCCTTTGCAGGTTTGCAGAGCCAGGAGAGGACCCGAGCAAGGAGCGACACGGTGCTGAGCCCCCAGCACCCCCGCGCACGGGTCCCCTCACCCTGCCCGTGCTCCCCTCTGCGCTCGTCCAGGCTCTGCCCAAACCCTACCCACCCTTTCCACCCCTGCCTTTCCCTGCACCACACACGCTTCATGCCTTTCTACAGCTTTGACAAATGAACTTCAGTTTCTCCTGTCCCTAAATATTGCTCCAAAGGTCCTCAGGACAAGTCCGGTCCCA